ACCTCATCAAAATCCCTTCAAAACCTCCCCAAAATTCCCAAAAATCCCCCCAAAAATCAAAAAAAAATCAAAAAAAAATCCCCCCAAAAATCAAAAAAATCGCCAATAATCCCCAAAAATCAAAAAAAATCCCCAAAAATCCCAAAAAATTCCCAAAAAATCCCAAAATCCCCAAATCCCCCCAAAATCCCCCAAAATTCCCCCAAAATCCCCGAATCCCTCTTAGACCTCATCAAAATCCCTTCAAAACCTCCCCAAAATTCCCAAAAATCCCCCCAAAAATCAAAAAAAAATCCCAAAAAATCCCAAAAAATCCCAAAAAAATCCCCAAAAATCCAAAAAAATTCCCAAAAAATCCCCCCAAAAATCCCAAAAAATCCAAAAAAATCCCCAAAAATTCCCAAAAATCCAGAAAAAATCCCCCAAAATCCCCAAAAATCCCCAAATCCCCCCAAAAATCCGGTTCCCCCCTCCAGGGACGACTCCAAGGATGAAATGGCCGGAGAGCTGGACTTCAGCGGGCTCCTGAAAAAGAGGTGAGGAGGAGGAGGAGGGGAGGAAGAGCAGGGGGAGGAAGAGCAGGGGGAGGAAGAGGAGGAGGAGGAAGAGCAGGAGGAAGAACAGGAGGAGGAAGAGGAGGAGAAGGAGGAGGAGGAGGAGGAGGAAGAACAGGAAGAGGAGGAGGAGGAAGAGCAGGAGGAGGAGGAAGAGGAGGAGGAAGAGCAGGGGGAGGAAGAGAGGAGGAAGAGGAGGAGTAGGAGGAGGAGGAGGAGGAGGAAGAACAGGAGGAGGAGGAAGAGCAGGGGGAGGAAAAAGAGGAGGAAGAGGAAGAGGAAGAGGAGGAGGAAGAACTGGAGAAGGAGGAGGAGGAGGAGGAAGAGGAGGAGGAAGAGGAGGGGGAGGAAGAGGAGGAGGAAGATGAAGAGGAGGAGGAGGAGAAGAAGGAGGAGGAGGAAGAGGAGGAAGAGGAAGAGGAGGAGGAGGAAGAACAGGAGAAGGAGGAGGAGGAGGAGGAAGAACAGGAAGAAGAGGAAGAGGAGAAGGAGGAGGAAGAGGAAGAGGAAGAGGAGGAAGAGGAAGAGGAGGAAGAGCAGGAGGAAGAACAGGAGGAGGAAGAGGAGGAAGAGCAGGAGGATTAGGAGGAAGAGGAAGAGGAAGAGAGGAGGAAGAGTAGGGGGAGGAGGAGGAGGAGGAGGAGGAAGAAGAGGGGAGGAAGAACAGGAGGAGGAGGAAGAGCAGGAGGGTTGGGGTTGGGATGAGGATGATGAAGATGAGGATGGGGATGGGACGAGGATGATGAAGGAACGAGGATGAGGATGATGAAGACGAGGATGGGACAAGGATGAGGATGATGAAGATGAGGATGGGACAAGGATGAGGATGATGAAGATGAGGATGGGACGAGGATGAGGATGATGAAGATGAGGATGGGACAAGGATGAGGATGATGAAGATGAGGATGATGATGATGATGAGAATGACGAAGATGAGGATAAGGATGATGATGATGAGGATGATGAAGGAATGAGGGTGGGGGATGATGAAGATGATGATGAGGATGATGAAGATGATGATGAGGATAAGGATGATGATGATGAGGATGATGAAGGAACGAAGATGAGGATGGAGATGATGATGAGGATGATGAGGATGGGGATGGGACAAGGATGATGATGAAGATGAGGATGGGGATGATGAAGAGGATGAGGATGATGAGGATGATGGGGATGGAACGAGGATGAGGATGATGAGGATGATGAGGATGAAGATGAGGATGATGAGGATGATGATGGAGATGAGGATGGGGATGATGATGATGATGATGATGAAGGAACAAAGATGAGGATGGGGATGGGATGAGGATGATGATGAAGGTGAGGATGGGGATGATGATGATGAGGATGAAGATGAGGATGGGGATGACAATGATGATGAGGATGATGAAGATGATGATGAGGATGGGACGAGGATGATGAAGGAACGAAGATGAGGATGATGATGAGGATGAGGATGATGAGGACGATGAAGATGAGGATGGGGATGGAACGAGGATGATGATGAAGGTGATGAAGATGATGAAGATGAGGAAGATGATGATGAGGATGAGGATGATGAGGACGATGAAGATGAGGATGGGGATGGGACGAGGATGATGATGGAGATGAGGATGGGGATGATGATGATGAGGATGATGAAGGAATGAGGATGGGGATGATGAAGATGACGATGAGGATGATGAGGATGAAGATGATGATGATGATGGAGATGAGGATGGGGAGGATGATGATGAAGATGGGGATGGGGATGATGATGAGGATGATGATGATGATGAAGATGAGGATGGGGATGATGATGGAGGAATGAGGATGGGGATGATGAAGATGACGATGAGGATGATGAAGATGATGATGATGAGGATGATGATGGAGATGAGGATGGGGATGGTGATGAAGACGATGAAGATGAGGATGGGGATGGGACGAGGATGAGGATGATGAAGGAATGAGGATGGGGATGATGAAGATGACAATGAGGATGATGAAGATGAGGATGACGAGGATGATGATGGAGATGAGGATGGAGACGATGAGGATGATGATGATGATGATGATGATGAGGATGAGGATGGAGATGATGATGAAGACGATGAGGATGGGGATGGGACGAGGATGAGGATGAAGATGAGGATGGGGATGAGGATGATGAGGATGATGAAGATGAGGATGTGCATGGGACGAGGATGATGATGGAGATGAGGATGGGGATGATGATGATGAGGATGATGAAGGAATGAGGATGGGGATGATGAAGATGACGATGAGGATGATGAGGATGAAGATGATGATGATGATGATGATGATGGAGATGAGGATGGGGAGGATGAGGATGGAGATGAGGATGGGGATGATGATGAGGATGATGATGAAGATGAGGATGGGGAGGATGATGGAGGAATGAGGATGGGGATGATGAAGATGACAATGAGGATGATGAAGATGAAGATGAGGATGGGGATGACGATGATGAGGATGATGAAGGAATGAGGATGGGGATGATGAAGATGACGAGGATGATGATGGAGATGAGGATGGAGACGATGAGGATGATGAAGATGAGGATGGGGAGGATGATGGAGGAATGAGGATGGGGATGATGAAGATGACGATGAGGATGATGAAGATGAAGATGATGAGGATGAGGATGATGATGGAGATGAGGAGGATGATGATGAAGATGGGGATGGGGATGATGATGAGGATGATGATGAAGATGACGATGAGGATGGGGATGATGATGAAGGGATGAGGATGGGGATGATGAAGATGACAATGAGGATGATGATGATGAGGATGATGAGGATGATGATGGAGATGAGGATGGAGATGAGGATGAAGACGATGAGGATGGGGATGGGACGAGAATGAGGATGAAGATAAGGATGAGGATGAGGATGATGAGGATGATGAAGATGAAGATGAGGATGAGGAGGATGATGATGAGGATGGGGATGGGGATGATGATGAGGATGATGAAGATGAAGATGAGGATGAGGAGGATGATGATGAAGGAATGAGGATGGGGATGATGGGGATGACGATGAGGATGACGATGAGGATGATGAAGATGAGGATGAGGCTGATCCCCCGCAGGGAGGAGCAAGCGGAGGAGACGAGGAGGAAGAAGAAGGACGATGAAGAAGACACCATCCCCCCCGAGATCTGGGAGCTGCTCAAGGGCGTCACCAAGAAGAGCGAGTACGAGCGCATCGCCTTCCAGTACGGCATCACCGACCTCCGCGGCATGCTCAAGCGCCTCAAGAAGATCAAGGTGGAGCCCAAGAAGAGCGAAGGTGGGAAAATACGGGAATTCGGGAATTTTTGGGAATTTTTGGGAATTTTTGGGAATTTTTGGGAATTTTTTGGGATTTTTTTGGAATTTTTTAGGATTTTTTTAGGATTTTTTATGAATTTTTTATGAATTTTTGGGAGATTTTTAAAGGGTTTTTTGGGGATGGGAGCGGCTCAAACGCCTCAAGAAGATCAAGGTGGAGCCCAAGAAGAGCGAAGGTGGGAAAATCCGGGAATTCGGGAATTTTTGGGAATTTTTGGGAATTTTTTTGGATTTTTTATGAATTTTTTGAGCATTTTTTGAGGTTTTTTTGAGGTTTTTTTGAGAGTTTATGTGGGTTTTTTGGGGGATGGGAGCGGCTGAAGCGCCTCAAGAAGATCAAGGTGGAGCCCAAGAAGAGCGAAGGTGGGAAAATACGGGAATTCGGGAATTTTGGGAATTTTTTGGGAATTTTTGGGAATTTTTTTGGATTTTTTTTAATTTTTTAAGGATTTTTTTAGGATTTTTTGAGGTTTTTTTGAGGGTTTTTGGGAATGGGAGCGGCTCAAGCGCCTCAAGAAGATCAAGGTGGAGCCCAAGAAGAGCGAAGGTGGGAAAATCCGGGAATTCGGGAATTTTTGGGAATTTTTTGGGAATTTTTTTGGATTTTTTAGGAATTTTTTGGAATTTTTTGGGATTTTTTTTTAATTTTGAGGGAATTTTTGGGGGATTTTTTGGGGTTTTTTGAGGGTTTTTGGGAATGGGAGCGGCTGAAGCGCCTCAAGAAGATCAAGGTGGAGCCCAAGAAGAGCGAAGGTGGGAAAATCCGGGAATTCGGGAATTTTTGGGAATTTTTGGGAATTTTTTGGAATTTTTTTGGGATTTTTTTGAATTTTTTCAGATTTTTTTTTTATTTTATGAGCATTTTTTGAGGTTTTTTTGAGGTTTTTTAAGGGTTTTTGGGGGATGGGAGCGGCTCAAACGCCTCAAGAAGATCAAGGTGGAGCCCAAGAAGAGCGAAGGTGGGAAAATACGGGAATTCGGGAATTTTGGGAATTTTTTGGGAATTTTTGGGAATTTTGGGGGATTTTTTTTAATTTTTTAAGGATTTTTTTAGCAATTTTTGGGGTTTTTTTGAGGGTTTTTGGGAATGGGAGCGGCTCAAGCGCCTCAAGAAGATCAAGGTGGAGCCCAAGAAGAGCGAAGGTGGGAAAATCCGGGAATTCGGGAATTTTTGGGAATTTTTGGGAATTTTTTGGAATTTTTTTGGGATTTTTTTGAATTTTTTCAGATTTTTTTTTTATTTTATGAGCATTTTTTGAGGTTTTTTTGAGGTTTTTTAAGGGTTTTTGGGGGATGGGAGCGGCTCAAACGCCTCAAGAAGATCAAGGTGGAGCCCAAGAAGAGCGAAGGTGGGAAAATCTGGGAATTCGGGAATTTTTGGGAATTTTTTGGGATTTTTTTGGAATTTTTTGGGATTTTTTTTGGAATTTTTTAGGATTTTTTTAGGATTTTTTTAGGATTGTTTTATGAATTTTGAGGGAATTTTTGGGGGATTTTTTGGGGTTTTTTGAGGTTTTTTGGGAATGGGAGGAGCTCAAACACCTCCAGAAGATCAAGGTGGAGCCCAAGAAGAGCGAAGGTGGGAAAATCCGGGAATTCGGGAATTTTTGGGAATTTTTGGGAATTTTTTGGGAATTTTGTTGGGATTTTTTGGGGATTTTTTAAGATTTTTTATGAATTTTTTGAGCATTTTTTTGGGTTTTTTTGAGGTTTTATGAGGGTTTTTTGGGGGATGGGAGGAGCTCAAACGCCTCAAGAAGATCAAGGTGGAGCCCAAGAAGAGCGAAGGTGGGAAAATCTGGGAATTCGGGAATTTTTGGGAATTTTTTGGGAATTTTGTTGGGATTTTTTGGGGATTTTTTAAGATTTTTTATGAATTTTTTGAGCATTTTTTTGGGTTTTTTTGAGGTTTTATGAGGGTTTTTTGGGGGATTGGGGGAGCTCAAACGCCTCAAGAAGATCAAGGTGGAGCCCAAGAAGAGCGAAGGTGGGAAAATCCGGGAATTCGGGAATTTTTGGGAATTTTTGGGATTTTTTTGGAATTTTTTGGGATTTTTTTTGGAATTTTTTAGGATTTTTTTAGGATTTTTTTAGGATTGTTTTATGAATTTTGAGGGAATTTTTGGGGGATTTTTTGGGGTTTTTTGAGGTTTTTTGGGAATGGGAGGAGCTCAAACACCTCCAGAAGATCAAGGTGGAGCCCAAGAAGAGTGAAGGTGGGAAAATCCGGGAATTCGGGAATTTTGGGAATTTTTTGGGAATTTTTGGGAATTTTTGGGAATTTTTTGGGATTTTTTTGGAATTTTTTAGGATTTTTTTTTTATTTTTTATGCATTTTTTATGAATTTTTGGGAGATTTTTTAAGGGTTTTTGGGGGATGGGAGCGGCTGAAACGCCTCAAGAAGATCAAGGTGGAGCCCAAGAAGAGCGAAGGTGGGAAAATCCGGGAATTCGGGAATTTTTGGGAATTTTTGGGGATTTTTTTGGATTTTTTATGAATTTTTTGAGCATTTTTTGAGGTTTTTTTGAGGTTTTTTTGAGGGTTTATGAGGGTTTTTGGGGGATGGGAGCGGCTCAAGCGCCTCAAGAAGATCAAGGTGGAGCCCAAGAAGAGCGAAGGTGGGAAAATCCGGGAATTCGGGAATTTTGGGAATTTTTTTGGGAATTTTTGGGAATTTTTGGGAATTTTTTGGGATTTTTTTGGGATTTTTTAAGATTTTTTATGAATTTTTTAAGGAATTTTGAGGGTTTTTTGAGGGTTTTTTGAGGGTTTTTGGGAATGGGAGGAGCTCAAATGCCTCAAGAAGATCAAGGTGGAGCCCAAGAAGAGCGAAGGTGGGAAAATCTGGGAATTCGGGAATTTTGGGGAATTTTTGGGAATTTTTTGGGATTTTTTTGGGATTTTTTAAGATTTTTTATGAATTTTTTGAGCAATTTTTGGGGGTTTTTTGAGGGTTTTTTGAGGGTTTTTGGGGGATGGGAGGGGCTCAAACGCCTCAAGAAGATCAAGGTGGAGCCCAAGAAGAGCGAAGGTGGGAAAATCCGGGAATTTGGGAATTTTGGGAATTTTTGGGAATTTTTTTGGGATTTTTTTTGGAATTTTTTAGGATTTTTTATGATTTTTTATTAATTTTTTAAGGAATTTTGAGGGTTTTTTGAGGGTTTTTTGAGGGTTTTTGGGAATGGGAGCGGCTCAAACGCCTCAAGAAGATCAAGGTGGAGCCCAAGAAGAGCGAAGGTGGGAAAATACGGGAATTCGGGAATTTTTGGGAATTTTTTGGGAATTTTTTGGGAATTTTTGGGAATTTTTTGGGATTTTTTTTTAATTTTGAGGGAATTTTTGGGGGATTTTTTGGGGTATTTTGAGGGTTTTTGGGAATGGGAGCGGCTCAAACGCCTCAAGGAGATCAAGGTGGAGCCCAAGAAGAGCGAAGGTGGGAAAATCCGGGAATTCGGGAATTTTGGGAATTTTTTGGGATTTTTGGGAATTTTTTGGGATTTTTTTTTAATTTTTTAAGGATTTTTTGAGCAATTTTTGGGGTTTTTTTGAGGGTTTTTGGGAATGGGAGGAGCTCAAACGCCTCAAGAAGATCAAGGTGGAGCCCAAGAAGAGCGAAGGTGGGAAAATCCGGGAATTCGGGAATTTTTGGGAATTTTTTGGGAATTTTTTGGGATTTTTTGGGAATTTTTTTGGAATTTTTAGTAATTTTTTAGGGAATTTTTTAGGGTTTTTTTGAGGTTTTTGGGGTTTTTTTGGGGGATGGGAGCGGCTCAAGAGCCTCACCTGAGCTCACCTGAGCCCACCTGAGCTCACCTGAGCTCACCTGAGCCCACCTGGAGCTCACCTGAGCACATCTGGAGCTCACCTGAGCTCACCTGGTGCTCACCTGAGCTCACCTGAGCCCACCTGAGCTCACCTGAGCACATCTGGGGCTCACTTGAGCTCACCTGGGGCTCACCTGAGCCCACCTGGAGCTCACCTGAGCTCACCTGAGCTCACCTGAGCACATCTGGAGCTCACCTGAGCTCACCTGAGCCCACCTGGTGCTCACCTGAGCACATCTGGAAGATCGGAAGCTCACCTGAGCTCACCTGAGCCCACCTGGTGCTCACCTGAGCCCACCTGGAGCTCACCTGAGCCCACCTGGAGCTCACCTGAGCTCACCTGAGCCCACCTGGAGCTCACCTGAGCCCACCTGGTGCTCACCTGAGCTCACCTGAGACCACCTGGAGCTCACCTGAGCTCACCTGAGCACATCTGGGGCTCACCTGAGCCCACCTGGAGCTCACCTGAGCTCACCTGAGCCCACCTGAGCTCACCTGGAGCTCACCTGAGCACATCT